TAAACAACAAATGGGGTGCTTTTATCGTAATCATAAAAGTAGGACTAAGTATTCAAGGAATTGATTTAAAAGGGGGGGGGGGGGGGGGCAATAATGATCATTGGCCCGTTTATGATTCTAACAAAAACTACACTATATTTGAAGGTTTTCGAAAACACTATCCAGAATTTTAACCGATTATCAGATTATCAGTGGCTATATTTGTACCTTGTAAACAGGTTTTGATCAAACATCATAATGTAATTTTCTGACATGTAGTATACAGGTCGTCACTCCATTACACCCATTGGAAACAAGATCACAAGACAGGTGACGAGTCCATCCTGCACTCCTGTTTCGGACCAAAATTGGTAATCTAAAATGATTTGATAGACCACTGATAATCTATGTATGTAAAAGGCAGCTCACACGTGTAAATTCAACTACTTATAGCATGTTGCGTGAAATGAACTAAATAATAACGACAACTAAACAATAATTGTGGTTATTTGGTATACTATAGTCAGTGATCTTTGTTCAAAGTTACAACCTTCACTTGTGTAATACACTAGGTTCTATGATACAACAAGGATACACAGACTTTAGCTCGATTTCTTGGTGGTTTCTTACTGCCAGTGAAAAATATCTCAGAATAATATAATATTCATCTTAGAATAATGAAGTGTTCTTGATAGAATAGATTCTTAATGTGAAAATGAAAACAAAAATAGACTTTTCTCATTCAGTTGATTAACAAGACTCGAAAAAAAAACATGTACTGAAAAAATAATTTTGGTCTTGTTTATTTTTAAAGTTATCCATGTCGTTTTCGCTTATTTTTACTTTGACTCTGAGCATGAAAGTGTTGGATTAAATGATTGGGTATGTAGTTTGATGGTTCCCATGTATTTTGTGAACTACTATAACCTCGCCATTTTATAAGATATTGTTTAATGTTGCCTCGTTTTCTACACTTAAGTATTCTTTCGACATCATACATGTCCTGTTGATTGTTTGTATTTTGTGACGGTTGGTTATCTTTGTTTAAGTGTTCTTGACCATTTTGATTATTTTTCCCTACTTGATTTTGTGTATGATTGATAATTGTGTCATTGACTCTGTCAAGGATTTCAGGCATGTCCATGAGTTCCTCTGGGTTTAGGTCGTGATCTTCATTAACTTCATCGGGTGGGTTTGTGGGGCGATTCTTAGGGTCGAGATACTTCTTCAATCGATTAGCATTTCCCAATGTCACTTTTCTTCCGGTTATATTTACGGAAACAAATGCTTTCATAAGATGCTGTCCTGGGCAGCCAAAATTTCATACAATTTTGCCCTGATAACGGATGGCTCCATTTCAACTTAGAACAAATGCATTCTGGGTATTGCACAAGGTCTTATCTTCTTTCTTTAGTTATATTTTTTTCTGCAGAAAATAACTGCCGGTATTAGAGTTTTCTATATCACCAGGTTACTCATTATGTTTAGCTTGATTTGAGTATCTTTTAATAACTTCAATTAAAGCTTGCTTTTGATAACTTCAATCGGAGCTTGCTTTTAATAACTTCAATTGAAGCTAGCTTTAATAATATGGGGGAATTCTTTGATATGCTATTATGTTTAATAGATGTTTTAGTTATCTATTTTAACGATATCACCACAATTAAGTGCCTTTTCTTGAATAAGTGCTATTGTACATTCATCCATGCATCTTTGGTTATTCCATTGATAGAGATTAGAAGAAAATGGGGAAGCAAACATAGCTTGTGTTGTTTACCTGTCGGTCAATAATCAAAAACTTGTCAGTGGTTGTCTCAATTAAGTATATCTCAGTGTATATACAGTATATCTCAATGTATTGGGTTTTTTTTTTCATTTAGGGAACCTGGTGTTGGAACATATCTTTTATAGTCCTTTTTTAAATATTTCACATTTTTCTAAACTCGTTGGTATTTACATTTGTAGCACTTAGAACTGAACATATTATATTGACACTTGTCTATTATTGGGGACAGTATGTTGACCTGTACATATAAAAATAAGGAGATGTGATATGCTTGTGAATGAGACAACTATCCATCAGAGACCAAACGACGTAGATGTAAACAACAATAGGTCATCGTACGGCCTTCAATAATGAGCAAAACCAAAAACCGTATAGTAAGCTATGCAAGGCTCCGTTTGAATTGTTTTTCCATTTGTCATTTCGGGGACTTTTATGGGTGACTATGCGGTATGGGTTTTGCTCATTGTTGAAGGCTGTACGGTGACCTATAGCTGTAAACTTCTATATTATTTTGTCTCTGGTGGAGAGTTGTTTAATTGACAATCATACCGCATCTTCTCATTTCTATATCCGGTGTCTATTTTGTTTGTTTTCGGTAGACTTTTGTTTAACTGGTAGTTCATGTTTACATCATATGATGTAAGGATGTGTATATTACCACTCATAAAAGGATAGTCCTTTAAATATCTAAATGATGCCATTAATAGTATGCATTATTTGCACTGTAACTTTGGGATGAAGAACCGCAGTATAAGGACTGGTCCATTGCTTTGGTTTCTAAGTCCGTTAATGGATTAAGTGACATTACGCCGCATCCTTATCAGAATCAATAGCACGTACATGTAAGCACTCACTGACTTAAGTTTATCTTTATTGGAAATTGCCAATTGTGTTAAATGTAACATGTGTGCATAACACCGCTTTACGCAATTTATTAAATTTAAAAAAAATAGTTGCAAAAAAGTTGTTATTCCAGAAATATTTATGTTCTATCTTGTAGTACTAAAACGTTTTTAGTTTTTTTAAAGTAGACGCATTGTTGTGAAAATTACTTAACCGAATGAGAACGGTTCGTATCTGCTCATCATTTCGGTACCACAGCTTCATTCTACATATCAATAACTTGTCATCTTAAAATTATTTTACAAATTATTGATCAGATAAAAACTGTCAGTTCTGCTAATATGAAAGTCTATTTTCGAGGATCTCTCCTTATAATCAAACTTTTCAGCTTAACTGGTGCATCTAATACGTCATACTGAGTTAGCATGAAGACGAGCCATGTGGCTTATATCTTGTACGGAATGATTATAAAAACAGTTATGTAGTCAGCGATAATATCGTTCAAGACATTTTATTTAAAAATAATAGAGCCATTAACTCATAAGAGTTATTGATGATGGAACAATCTTCTGTCAATTTTATTGCCTTTATCATTTTCGATTTTCTAGGTTTCTAGTTTTGAGAAGGTATTTGTTTAAGATATGGTTCCGTTTATCTAACCTGTAATTGTTTACGTCTTGAATCTAGAATAAGCTAGTATCTGGTCCTACTTGATATAGAATGAAAACGATTTTATAATTATTATTCTGAATGCTGTAAAGATAGGAAAATGCATATAAAACTGTACAAATTACATGTATATGTCGGTTTAGTTTTATCCAATCAAAAAAGGGTTTTAAACGTCTGTTGACCGAAGTTTCAAAATGCGAGTTTTCTTTTTGAAAATGAAACTTTGCAATCGTTGTTACATGAATGTTAAGGGATCCATATCTACGATTTACATCCGAATTTTCTGATCAATTATGGTATGAAATGTTTGAATACTGTCAATACTGAAGCACTGGCTACTGGGCGGAAACTACCCTCGAGGACTATGTCTCCAAACTGTTGGAAACTCAAGAGTTGACCAGAGTGTAGAAACATGTTAATCTCTGTACTTTTCCATCTGCAGAAAAACTGATGCTAAAAGTTGGCACCCGTTTGGCTATTGCGGCATGTTTATATACGCAGCCATGTATTTAAGTCTCTGCTAATTACCATATCCTTGCAACATTTCTTTGAGTGGTCTGTAGGTACCCAAATGATGAAAGACACACTTTCTACCCCCAAGGTATTGAGCATAAACTTCTATTTGAATGATTTATTGATAATTGTTTCTAGCCCTGAAAATCACGGCATGAAATATTTGCCACTACACTTTAAACAAATAGCAATCCAATAAGCGATTCATCGGCAGCAGTATTAAGTGGTACCACACCACATAGGATATAGTTTCCTTGCGCACAAAACGTGGTTCTGTAATAACCTTCATCAGTATAAGAATAAGCAGATGTGGTATGAAATACTTAGGATTTTCTACTCAGAATAGAAAATTTCAATCCTGGTATCTATGATGAGCTTTTTTACAACCAGTGGGTCTTTGATTCGAGCGTCACTGATGAGTCTTTTGTAGACGAAACGCTTGTCTGGCGTAGAAAATTTCAATTCTGGTATCTAAAATGAGTTTTTTTATTATTTATTCTATTTATTGCCAATGAGACAACTATCCAACAAAGTTAAAATGACGTGAATATAAGCAGTTCACCTTGATATTTGAAATTCAATTGCTCACTCAAAAAAAAATTTTCTGAAAAAAAACGAAAAGAAAATTATGTTGACTGTTTATTCGTGTTATCTTTAAAGCTACTTATTAAATCAATTCTGCTTCGTGCATTCATTAATACAAGATCAAGTCACCACATATCACGGGTGAACAATAAGTACCCGTTGGAATAGTAATCAACGAACGCAACTGTGCCTCTAAATTCTTTTTGTTAAAGTAGTGTGCTAGCTGCTGGAGATAGATGATTAGTTTATACAGATGTTCTTTCTTTCAGATGATCATACCGAAGGATCAACTGCGCAACTTTCATTCTTTTTTTTTTAATCAGCATAAAGCAATATTGTAACAAAGCTACATAAATGCATGATATTTGTATAAAGAAAAATAGGGAGCTGTGGTATTTTTGCCAATGAGACAACTATCCAACCAAATGTTTAATTCGGTAAAAAGTTTGTTTTATAACACAATGCATTTTTTATTTGTTCAAGTTTCATAGTGGTTCCATTATAAGCCAACAAAACACAATGGCGATAAACAATTAGATTGGTTTTTACGTTATCGAAGGAGGAGAAAGTATTAGATTTAATCAAGCGCTACTTTGTAAGAAGTTGTGATTTTACACATGAAAACATTAGCTAATGATGAAACACGCTTATGATTAGTTTAAACAAAACTGATAGAGGTCATTGCTTCTGATTGAATTTATAACCTCTTCAGTAATAACAGAACAGCCGTGAATTTATCAAAGTCTTCTGGTGTCAAGAAGACGTTACGCTTAATTCGTATATAAAATTACAATTGAATCAAGAAGACGTCGATTTGGCACATTAAATTAACATGATGAATTCTGTAATTTTAAATCTATTGGGTAATAAGTGATAAAATTACAGAATGCGAATAATAGTTTATTGATATTTCACGTAGCTTGTAGTAATGACGTCCACTTCCAATTTCAAAATGGTGGATGAGGCTTAATCTCACGTGACAACATTTCGAGACTTGTGAAAAGTCAGAAAAGTTTTCTTTCTAAGCAAAGTGAAACTTTATGAATTTAAGTATTTTTGAAACACATGTTAGAGTGATAATACTAGTGTTGATCACACTACGGATGATCGTCTGCCTCGAGATTGTCTGCTGAATACATCGTTCGATATTTTATCAGTATCTCTATACTAACTCTTTGGAGAATAAATTGGCAGGCGAATTTGCTTGAAGATAATATCAAATGCTTACATTAAATTAAACATGGAAGTTTCTATTAACTTCCGCCAGTTAACATAAGAATGACACGAAAGAACCACAGATTTCTCGTGCTAGGACTTGTTGTCACCTTTATATGTTTCCTGAGCGAGACAGAAGGGGAAAATATTGCCAAGTAAGTTTTTTCTTCTTTCAAATTTTGTTGTTTCGTTCAATGTTGTGATGAGGGTACCTTTTATTTTGTTCATTTTAATCATAAATGATTTAGAAAACGATACTAAAATGTATTCCCCGTCATATTGGTCTCATCAGATAACACTTCGTACGTTTATTACACGACATCCAAAGCATGTGTGATGTGTACACAAGCATTCTTTAGGGAAATAATTAAATACCAATTAGATCTCAAACACTTTTCATATATTGTAAAACATCATGGTTTTACTTTTGTGCATTCAAATTCGATTTTTTTATATGACAAAGCGACTTGTGGTTTAAAGACTGCTCATAGTGCCACTGGTCAGTCAATATCTAAATTTCTGGTCCGATTTGTAATTTGTATTACCTTAACATATGTTTTAGTCCATAAATAATCATTTTATGAGTTTGCACGAAATAAGGTATTATATATTCTATTAGTCTAGAACAGCTGAGACAACGAATTCGGCTTTAAAAGTATACAATTCGTGTTGCAATTTAAAATGTTATTGACCTATAATCCCACACTTACAGCTCTATTGCAGAAATTCATTTATTTGAAACCGTTCTTATCATAGGTTTTATACCAGTATGAAAAGGACGCCCACCGTCTGAAGAAAAAAAATACAAAAATATATTTCATATCTCAGCTGCAGGAATATTAATGTTGAAGATGTTATGTACGAATTGTCTACAAAATGAAATAGCTGAGATTTTTTTTAGTTTGTTTTAAATTTAACACGGTGGTATTTTCTTCAGAATTTAATACTATCTGGTAATATACATGTATTCATCATATTTTTGTATACTTCAAATATCCTGTCAAAGTTTGTTAATAAGATTATGTATTTAGAATATAATATTGTTACTACTAGTATACGTTTACATAAACCATGCGTATTCAGGCAAGGAAAAATTAATGACGATAAAACTTTGTTACTTGAAAAAATCAGTCACAATTATGTGCCGAAAGAAGATATCGAAAATAATAATATGAAAAAAAATAGAATAAGAGAAAAAAAATAACAATGCCCAACATGGAGAGAAAGATTTAAAAAGTATTGACTTGCATGAAATTACAAAAAAAACATAATCTCAAATGTTATATTTTCTTCTGTATTGCGAGGTCTGGTTTCTGCTAAAACATTATGATAAGGTCATATAAGGGCTTCTGCTGTAAGACTACAAATTGTTCAAATACTTTAATAAATACTATAAAATGATAAAATGTATTTATATAATTCTACTCAACCTATGTAACATTTCTAAAATTGTTTATGATGAAAATGAAAATATATATAACATTTACTGCATCTTTGTCAATTCCGAAACATCCCTAACATCCGGTAATTGGTAGAGAGTTCAAGATTTTTTAGACCACTTTAATGTAGTATTAGTATATAGTTTCGATTAAAGACCAGGGACATTGTACGAATGACTGTCAATCAAGGGCCATTACATCTGTAAAAACCAACAAATGCCCAATTAATATACCAAATGAATAAGACCTGCTTGAAAATTATAACTGAAAAGGGTAATGTTTATTAAAATGCATAATGTTTTCAATTCTTCGGTTTTATTTTTTGATTGTACAAAAGCCAAATATTTTCATTCATGTGAAAACCTGAAGAGAATATATATATATACAATCATGTAAAAACCTGAAAAGAATATACAATATTAAAATATTATTTTTTAGCATCGACTTTTTTTTTCTTTAAAATTCAGGCAGTAAAATGAAGCAAGTGTTTAAATGTATTTGTGTATTGACCCTTCAAGAAGTAGGACACGTGTAGACAGTCGAATGTTTGTTCACCCTTCAAGAAGTAAGACACGTGTAGACAGTCGAATGTTTGTTCACCCTTCAAGAAGTAAGACACGTGTAGACAGTCGAATGTTTGTTCACCCTTCAAGAAGTAAGACACGTGTAGACAGTCGAATGTTTGTTCAATTAACCCACATGTCTGTAGATGTCGTTGCAAAGACAAGCAGCATACTTTAGTATGTCTTTACGATGTCATGACGGCCTTAACATTGGATTATAGATGCCATGCGCATTTTACTTACATAAGACATAACATAACCGACAAAAATTCAACACAATTAGAAATTAATAGCAAAAATGTGTTTGCATTGGCAAAAACGTGTTGCAAATCTGCTATCAAACACCGATTTTCACATGAGCGCTGAATGGGTGCGTTTTAGAAATAATGAATCGTGTAAACGAAGCCAATTATATATTATTACTTTAATATCTTAGCCACATGTTATTCCTTTGTTACAATTGATAATATGTCATTGTGGAAATCCTCTTATACCCTTAAAATGTGTATAATTCCATGTTGCTGCCAACATTACCAGCTAACTGCACCTATTCACTAATCAATAGTATTTAAGTAATGGCAAAAACTATGTAAAATGTAATTATTTCTAAATGAAAATTTGCAGTTTTGTTATTTGTAGTAACACAATATATGAGGCGTTAAAAATTAAATGCATTTCAAAGGTCTCTTGTACATTCTCAGATCAATAGGATCAAGGAACATCATGTTTATCTTTCTGCCTTCGTTAAAGAAAACAAACTGCTTAACATGAGTTTGCACATTTGCATGATTTGTGATCAATCCGACTTAGGCTCTGATTTTAGCAATTTCAAGTGCATATTTGCTTAGAAATCACTAAACAAAGGGTACTAAATGAAGAACTAAAGTTCATCTTTGTTTAGATTCCCCAGAACCACCCTGTACCGATCATGTTACGATTCATCCTTGAAATTAGGGATCCCTAGGATTTTGACACATTACAAATTGAATTACACGTAAAGGCAAAAGAGAAATGTATTAAGTAAAATACACAGTGGAAGATACTCTGCAGATTTGTAGTCAAGGGTTTTGGTCCAGTTCTGAGAAAAATTTCGAAATTACCATGTTGAAGAAGTTTTCTGAAAAGTACTTCACTAGGATCGCTCAGCAAAATTTATTTGAAAGCTAAAGATTCATGAAAACATGTGTTTAAAGTTATTGCAAACGGCTGATATTTTTGTTCGAGCAGATTGTTTTTCTTTAATTGTTTAACATTTCATACCTATATAACATGTTACTTTTATTATTCTTCCCTTAGTTTATTTATTTTGTATTTACATTGTATCATAGGTCAAATTTATTTTTCAGTGTATGTTCAATGGTGTTAATATGTCCTTTGATGGAGTTAAGCTATTTCAGTTGATATTTTATAGTGTGTCTTTCTATGTTGTGATGTTACACTATTGTTTCAGAAAAAGACACTATTGTTTCAGAAAAAGGGTGAAGGTTTGGTACCATTAAAACGTTTAAACCCGCTGCATTTGTTTGCACCTGTCCTAAGTCAGGAATCTGATGTTCAGTAGTTGTCGTTTGTTGATGTGGTTCATAAGTGTTTCTCGTTTCTCGTTTTTTATATAGATTAGACCGTTGGTTTTCCCGTTTGAATGGTTTTACACTAGTAATTTTTTGGGGCCCTTTATAGCTTACTGTTCGGTGTGAGCCAAGGTTTCGTGTTGAAGACCGTACTGTGACCTATAATGGTTTACTTTTATAAATTTTGACTTGGATGGAGAGTTGTCTCATTGGCACTCATACCACATCTTCTTATATCTATTAGATACAATCAAGGAGATGACTGAGATCATATTTTTCAAGAGGAAATAGAGAAGTGTATTATCTGCATTTAATATCCTTAAGTATTATGGAATTTAGTAACATGTATGCTTAAGGTATATACACTAACACGATAATCTCTCTCTCTCTCTCTCTCTCTCTCTCTCTCTCTCTCTCTCTTGTTTTGTACATATGTTGGTATTTTTGATATAAGGCAAACAATATTCCAACAAGAAAAACATCAAGAGTTAATTTAGTATATTAAGTGTAAGAAGTTCTTCCATACTTTCATGGTCTGTTTTACACTATGATGCCATTTTCATTGCTCGATCAATCTAAATGGGTCATATTTTTCTTGGCAACCGTTTAATAAAGATTTTAATTGTGTTAAGTATGATGTTAAGTTTATAACGAGAAGAGGATTTTTACCTGTTATTTACAAACTACAGGTTATTTTGGGTACATTTAATCGGTTACGCCTGCTTCGTTATTTTAAACAGACTTGTATAAACAAATACAGTAACAACAGATTGATCATCAAATTACTTTATTCCCCCCGAATGTTTTATGAGATAATTGTTTACTGACTTTTCAAAAATAAGTATTAGAACAAATGCGTTTATTTGTTTGTCTTCGTTTATCTTTGACAGTCTGTTAAATATTGACTTCTTGTATAGGATGGCTTTAAGCATACTATGTTTGCTTACTTGGGTATTGAACTCCAACCGTTGAGTATGAGGAACCGCAATGACGACTATTTCAAAACAAATCTTTGCACATGAAATAGTTGAGTTTCCGGGATTTAAACTTTTAATAGTATTGGTGAGTGATAAAAAGAGTAGAAATCGTGATAGTTCCTATAAAACATAACTTTTTTAAGTAACTTAAAACTATTTGTATGTGATACTATAAATGAAACCTTCATAGCAACTTTGTTTTCAGGAAAGTTATATTGCTATTTCATTACTCGGATTATAAACTTTTCATTTCGTTTTTCTGTCGCTTATATTCTGACTCATTTTTAATAAGCAAGTTAATTGCACCCATATGTTTCTGATATTTGCTAGGTTGCTACCTGCCTTGTGTATTTTGAGTTAAAATGTCCGTAATCTTTACCGCCGTTTTGTATGTTGCTAGGTTGCTACCTGTCTATTTTGAGTTAAACTGTCCGTAATCTTTACCGCCGTTGTGTATGTTTTTGATATTCTAGTTCTCTTTAAGACGAAGAAGGATTGCTTGGATTTTGTAAAAATATTTTTCCAACCATAATTATGTTTTGATAACTGTCTAAACACCATTTGTTTACATTTTACAGCAGAAATATGATTTCACACTTTGAACT